TATATATCTATGTATGTATGTATATATATATATACGTATACATATACATCTATATATATATAAAATATATATACCCCCAACCCAAATCAAGCCAACCTGCCGGCTGCTGCCCAGGAAGACTTCGACATGAACAAGGAGATTTCCGAGGCCTTGCAGCGGTGCAACTCCAAGCTCTCGAAGAGCAGCTTGGATGCATGGTTTAGAACGGCTTATGTGCATGGATTCCATTCGGTTTCTGCGACTCTACCGTTGAGAAGCTTAGGTGGCAGCTGCGACTCCCTGCCTAGCGCCATCCCTCGAACAACACAGCAGGCGACTGCATGTGAGAGAACAAGATCGAGAGGTCGTGCAGGGCAAGCATCGAGGGCTACCCCGGTTGGAAAGACGACAAAGAAACCAGCGACACCGAGCTGCAGGGCGAACCTATCAGGTGCATTCGAGAAGGTGGCAGACACGGGACCAGCTGTGTCGCCCTACCACAAGAAGCCTAGGGTGTCTTCCCCTGCTGTGGAGGAGCTGATACGCTGCACAGTCGTGTGTGTGTGTGTGTCTAGCTCAGTCATGCACATTTAAGACTGCAAGTCTATTTGGGCTAGGCTCTTTATAACTATGTTGGTGAGGTTATAATATTATACCTGAAAGCCAGGAGACACTTCGTGACCTGGAGCCCGAGGAGGGGCTGTGCAGCTCCGGGTCAGGGATATGGGGTACGAATGGGGATGATATGGACTCCATGCCACCACAGCCAGCCCAGGGTCCCAAGGCCCCTCAAGTTCGACCTGGTGATGTTCCAATGCAGAAGAAGTCTACTGATCCCGCGAAGGCCCCTAAACGACCTGGTGATGTTCCAATGCAGAAGAAGTCTACTGATCCCGCGAAGGCCCCTGAAGTTCGACCTGGTGATGTTCCAATGCAGGAGAAGTCTACTGGTCCCACGAAGGCCCCTGAAGTTCGACCTGATGATGTTCCGATGCCGGAGGAGTCTACTGATCCCACGAAGGCCCCTGAAGTTCGGCCTGGTGATGTTCCGATGCCGGAGGAGTCTACTGATCCCACGAAAGGCCCAAGAGTTCGACAGGGTGATGTTCTAGAGCCGGATCCCACGAAGGCCCCAAAAGTTCGACATGGTGATGTTCTAGAGCCGGATCCCACGAAGGCCCCTGAAGTTCGACATGGTGATGTTCTAGAGCCGGATCCCACGAAGGCCCCTGAAGTTCGACCTGGTGATGTTCTAGAGCCGGATCCCACGAAGGCCCCTGAAGTTCGACCTGGTGATGTTCAGTCTCAGGATCTGGCCATGCAGGTTCATGCCGCTAATGCTTCTGACCTGCCAACGAGGAGCATGCCGTGCAGTGACAGGCTTAACCGTGACTCGAATGCAATATTGCAGCATTATGCATGTATGTAAGTAAGTAAGTAATGTATGTATGTATGTATGTGCACATGTCTAGCCATGTGTGGGTGTGCATCTATGCATGCATTCATAAGGTATATGTGTACATATATATATATATGTATAATGTACATATATATATATATATAGCACCTACATATATATATATATGTGTGTGTGTGTGTGTTCGTGTATATGTGTATGCATTTGTATTATATATACATGTACATGTAGATGTATATGTGTTAATATATATATATATGTAGCTACACTACACCCACATATACATATACATATATATATATGTATATGTATATGTATATGTATATGTATATGTATATGTATATGTGTATGTGTATACCGTAGGTTGGTATGTAGGTGCATGTCTATGTGTCTCGAGAACACGAGCTGATCCGAGGCCCACGTCACCTGGACTCGCAGAGCACGATGAGCCCCAATGACTTTGTCATGAAGACCTCGCCGACCAGGGCAGAGAAGATCTGTGGTGCTTTGTTGCACAGGGGCTTGCCGGAGCCGGATGATCCGGCAGATCCCAATCTGCTACCGCTGCTCAGCTATGTCTTCGGGAAAACGGGTGAGCTAGCCTGCAAACGTGGAGAGCTGGACAGAGCCTCTCTGGTTCTCAAATGGACCAAGACAATCGCCATGAACAACATCAGCTTCGAACAGGCGGACCCAAAGTACGGAGTTATGGCTCGGGCTCTGCACCTTGCTGCAATCGACTTCAAAAAGGCCGAAGGCACCCTGAACAATACTTTCAAGGACTTCGAGAAGTACGTGAAGATCATTACAGACCTCGCCGAGAAGAAACGAGGCCAGGTCGAGGAGATGGACGAGAACAAGTTGCCAAGGCTGCTGCAGAAGATCAACGACTGGGCTGAGGAAAAGATTAAGCAGAAGAAGGACATGGTGACTCAAGATGAGAACAGGCTGCAGCAAAGCCAAACGAGTTTTGCTGATGCCTTAGTGGATCTACTGGATGCTGTGGAGGAGGCACACTACAGCCGCCTCGGGGTCGAGGACGAGTCGACAGTCACCGGGGACCTAGAAGCCCAGCTGCAGGCCTTGATGCTCGAGGCCCAGGGCGCCGACAGTGGTGCCGGATCCGGCACCAGCTTGCCTGGGCCAAAGAAGAGTGAGACATTGTTGGCAGTGAAAGAGGAGGTTACTTGGGTGCAGGGTGTGGGGGGGGGGGATAGGCCTAAGTTCGGCACATGTTTGACAGTGATCATGAGTACATAGCAGTAGCATGTGTAGGATCCGTGGCACAGACTGGGTGCATGGCTGATTCGCATGAAATTGCTGAGATACTGAGGCGACCGGCACAGCTGCCACAGAAGTGCCCGCAGAGGACCTGCCAGCAACATCCACCCCGGCCAGAAGCGAGGCGAGGTTCGTATCGCTGAAGACGTGCTACACATGTGCCGATAGCCTGCTGACCCGACCACTCCATGTTGCATGCATGTTCGTCCGTGTGTAAACTTAGAGCCTCAACCGGTGCAGGCAAAGATGAGCCCGGGGCCAGAGGCTGCCAACAAGATCGTGCTGTCCGAGGATGCCGCCGCCAAGGAAGCGAAGAGACTGCAGCACAATGCCCGGGTGACATTCGATCGCAGACTCAAGAGCATCTAGACATGATCAATGATAGATGGCAAAGTTTCGTACTTCACTTTATGTTTCTGCGACACCTCTGAAGCTGATGAAGCCTTATCGAATCTGAGGTGGCGACTGTCCGGATGCCATCCTTGAGAAGGTCAAGACCTTCCAGAATCAGCCCAGTCTCCCGTCACAACTTAGCATCTGATCATTAAATGGCTTTAGCTGCAGCTTCGTGCAAAGCTGCATGGATGCAACAACTAAGATCGATTGAAGCTCTTGCAAGGGCTGTTCCACGATTGGTTCAGCCATGGCATGGACTTCTTGAAAACCTCGGTGTACCAGGAAGCCCAGCGGCGAGTCACCGACGAGGCCAAGGGGAAGTCCGTCATGCAGTCCTTCAAGTACCTCAAGGAGAAGTTTGGGCGCCGAAATGCGGAACGCATACGAGACAGGAAGAAGGACTTGGAGGCCAAGCGGGACAGCATTGCCGAACCAAGGGCATGGTGGTTTCCTCACCCTGAAGCTCTAGACGATCCTGCTGCTTGGCTTTGTTTTATTGTTTTTTATTGTTTTTTTTTAGGTAGAGGGCCGGGGCGGGTGTGTGTGTGTGTTAAGTCAACAGCAACTGCAAGGATATCTAGTAAGACATTCAAGCCCTATAACACACAGCTCTATATATATATATACATATATATATATATTAAATATATGTACATGTACATATATGTATAGCAAATAAAAAAGTACGATGACAATATATGTTAATAACTATGTATATATATATATACACCCCACATTAAAGACACAAACCAGGACTGGGAAATGTTTCGCTGCTTTGAGAGCCTTGAGTTCGAGCTCTCGGAGGCGAACAGCTCTACCACGGGATTCAAGGCCAATGCTCAGTTGGACTCCGATGCGACATCGGCACTTGCGAGCCTCATCTGAAATTCACCCCCAATATAACTACAACAACCATCCCCCTGATCCTATATGATTTAATCTGCAATGCAAAGTCGTTCGTAAAAGGATTCCTGTAACCACTGAAACTATATACCCGAAAACCCTAAACCCTAATAAACCCTAATAAACCCTTTGCTAAACCCGAAATTAAACCCTAAACCCTATGCTAATAAGGCCCATGCTGAGTGGCATGGTACATCAGCCCCTCGCCAACCGGGGCGACTTCTGCCTGGGAGCCCCGCTGCTTCTGCCGTCCAACTCGAGGGAATCCTTGCCAGGTGGCGAAAAGCAGCCCGTGAAGAAGACGAATCCGCATGCTCTTACCAAGAAGCTCAACACCAAGATTCAGGCTGTTGCTTCGAGACTGACGGAGATCATCGTGTGGGACAGCAAGGTTCACGAGTCCGAGTTGCTTCTTGGTACTATTATGGGGACAAGTTTGTTCAACACCTAGCAAGTTTATATGTGTCCTATATATCTCCGATCCCCAATGCCCAGGCCCCAGAAGACAAAGGATGGTTTCGTGGAGCAGCTCGAGTTGAAGAAGACGGAGATGGAAAAGTTGAAGTCCTCGATGGAGCAGCTGTACAGCAGCCTCTGCTCCATCGAAGACAAAGACTTGTCGGGGGAACAGCAAAAGGCCGTGAACGACTCAATGCAGGCTGCTGATGCTCTTGGAAATTCCCTCACGGGCACCGTGAAGCCGATGAAGGTGTCGTTGGAGACTAGGGCTATAAATGGTCCTGATTGTGATCATGAACTGTAACCTGAAGCATGCTACACCCTCAACCAAATCCCTAAACCCATCTGATCTATTTATTAGTCATAAGATGAACTATATATTCAAATGTTATATACCCCTCAACCCTAAACCCTAAACCCCTAAACCCCAATAAGCCCTAAACCCTAAACCCCATATACAGATACATAGCAATATCCTTGGACCTCCTAACACACACATCTCAGGAACCACCGAAGGTGGCCAAAGCCAAGGCCAAGGGCCGAGCGAGTCGATGATCCAGGAGATTCGGTGCCTGGCGCTTTTAATTTCTTGTGATGTGAGCTTGCTGGGCCGAAGCAATGTAGCAGTGGGACGGCATGCTTGATCGATTCGAGGAGTCATGATCAGTCAATCATATTCTAGAATATATATATATATACTGCATTCCGGGCCCACGGCAGAATTGCAAATGCATATGACCTCCATCGAGCATGCATTGCTGTTGTAACCTGCTGCTGGGCATTGCTTGGATTTTGGTGTCAAGCCTCATCCCGATGAAAGCCGGAGATTGATTAAACCTACATATCTAGTTCATGATCAAGTCATGATCGGACATGGAAGGCTTGCTAGGCTCGTCTCGCGAAGAGGATGAGCTATCGGGGACCGTTCGCTACACTCGAACAGTGCATAAAGCAAAAATCGAAGTGCCAACCGTGTTCCTGTCCACTCCCGGATAAAGCTTAAGATTCCTCGAGCTCTAAACTCCCCCTCGCAGGTGATCTCACGAGGTCTCGATCATCGCCGATGTTCAACTACTTGATGCGAGCAGTTGGCCGTGGTGCGACTTGGTTGCACATGTACGTCGTCAAGCCCACCCATGTTCTATATTAGAATATTGTGATCAGGCATCCTTCACGAGTGCCCGCGACACACTGCAGGCGATGAATCAGGACTGATGTGTGCCGGGAACGATTCTTCTAGAGTGCTCTACGATGCTAGGAGATGCAAGCCCACGCATCAACATGGGTGGCCCGTGTGCAAAGCTGGAGGCTGCAGGAGCACATGGGAAATGGGGCAGCAACATACAAAGGGATATGTTGCGGACAAGCTCCACGGGTGACGATGTGTCTTGCTGTTCAATAAACAGGGTACATGTCTAGCATGTACATGTGTCTACAATCGAGGTTTGAAATGCATTCCGGAGCCGGCCTCAGGTTCCCATCGACATGGTGGAAGTTCCGATCAAGCCTGAGCAAGGCAAGCAGAAGATGGTGACCAAGCCGCTTTGCTCTGTCATCGGAACATCGGTTTAGGGTTTAGGGTTTAATTAGGGTTCAGAACATGTACATTAATTTCGAACATACACATTCTTATGCATGTACACATGTACATAACACACAGTTCTGTTTCAAGGGTGCTGCCGGTAGCATGCTATAGCTAGAATTACTTTATCTACGATTGTAGCTGGATATTGCGAATACGAGTCGGTGCAAGTACTTATGTTATTATCCCAGGCTAATGCCGGTCCTCCTGCCCCACAAGCTTGTGCCGTGGCTTATTCGAAAGAATTGTTGGCCTGACATCAAGGATAAAGATGTTAAAGATTTCTGGCAACACCAGAAGCTTTACTCTGCAGATGCTACATGCCCCACTAGCGATCTCCACCATCCTTACTGGTTGTGGGGTGACGATGTCCGCTACGGGAAGCGGTTCAACCAGAAAGTGATGACAGTCATGATGGGGCATATCCTGGACTGCAGCAAAAACTCCTATCGGAGCTGTTTTCCCTTATGGGTTTGTGGCTGTGACTCCTGGCTCTTGTTCGAAATCGAATTCTTATTCTTGTATATATATATATATAGTTATTAGCATTAGCCGGGGCCTTGTCCAAGCCGAATTCGCTCAGGAGCTCAGCCTTGGAATGGCTACGATCGCTGCCTACATGCGGCCGGTGCCATGGAGAAATATAGGGAGTTTGATTCGTGGATTGGTTTGCTTATTTATAAGTTTCAACAATTACAATTCCACATGTGAACATGTTTTCTTAATTAAAGCGATCATGATCAGGTTGTAGCCAGCTTCAACTTGCTGGTAGATGGTGTACGACTGAGCCGAAGCAGCGAAGCAGTCATCTACGGATTAGTCGCTGAAATACGGGGTGACTGGAAGTGGCAGAAGGAATGGTTGGGACTGCGAGTGGGTTGGTCGTCGCGACAGCTCTGTCATCATTGCAAGTGTACAGCTGATGCTTTTGCAGTGGTTCCATCGCTTTTGGACGAGCTGCCTCGACGAAGCCTAAGCGAAATCGTCCGAGACTGCTTGCAACCCGGCAGAAGAAGTACCCAGGCTGCAGTTTACAACTGGAGTTCGAAAGCCCATTATTAAACATATAGATCCAAAGCATGAGCCACGACAAGCCCCAGGCCCGATCTTCGATCTGCAATTCCTCCATCCTGGAAGCTTGAGATGGTGCAGCATGCACATTATAAATTTGGGAGTGGCCTTATGGATGGTGGGCAGCTGCTTCAAGCTGCTGTTGATGGAGTTTCAAGTTTGGGGCACTGGGAGTGATGCTGATAGACTTTCCACTGCTTTTCTTGAATTCAAGTACTGGTGCTCTGAGCGCGGGATCCCGCCGCATGACATAATTACGGATTCAGGAATTCGAAGGCTTTTCTTTTATGCGAGATATCGTCAGTTGCAGCCTCATATGACTTATATAGGGTTTATTAGGGCAATTAGGGCTTTATGTATAGGGGTCGCATCGCAACAGTGTGCAGACACATTTGCCGAGGAACACACAACCTCGGTTTACAACAGCTTCACTTCGATCGCCCGACGGCCCGTATCCCGAGCTCCGTGCAAAGGCCTACAATGTTGCCGAGTTGCAAATAGAATCGGATTTATGATAAAGATCGTCGTGGATTGTGCGGGCTACAGCATCTAAAATAATCATATACAATGTAAGGCTAGGGTTGTGGTGGCATGGCTGGCCTCCTTCCTTATGGACTTTTACACCAGCCAAACATGTGGTGCCCCCGAAGACCTCAAGCTTATGGCTCAATGCACGTCACCTTTATGCAATTGGGAGCTTCCGAACATAGCGGTTTAAGCAAAAACAAAATTACTCATCATTGGATGTAGGGGTGATGCCTCTTAAAGCTTTATTTGTTCCTAAACCGTTATAAACCCTAAAGCCTATAAGCCCTAAGCCCTAAACCCGAATAAAATAGACCCTGAATCAAACCCCGATGCACCTCGAGCCCCACGGCCACTGTGCAAGGCACTTCCTCGCCTCTTGGTTCAACATGTCCGAAGACGCCGGCCGGTACCTCTCCGAAGAGCAGGCTTTGGCTATGAAGGAGTGTTGCGATGCTTGGATGCATTATCGATTTGGAGACTCAATGCTTCCAAAGCCAATTGAGCTGAGCCGAGGACATGTCTATGATGGCTTACCTTCTGTTGTCTGAGAAAGCCGCTTCGATGTATCGGGCCTTGTGGCCTTTAAAACCGAAATTTCATGTGGCCAGGTTGCAATCAATCAGTGCATACCAGTCCGAATCAAGTTGTTGTGAGCTTGGCTTCGAATGCATGCATCCTTAAACTTATAAGGCATGGCAAGAGCTGGCTTGGCATCAGGTTCATTCTCGCCACTTGGGCTTTTGATTATAGCTTCGGCTGAAACCGCTATTGCTGGCCCCATGCAACTAATTATAACTGAGGCTATGGCTGCCGATTCTATCACTGTTTCATGCAGGAGGATGGAGTTGGCAAGATTTCTCGTTTCTTAGCTGCATGAGCTGATGCTGTGACTGCTCTCTCGCTCGCATCCCTTAATCAACAATAGCTTGAGCTCACGATGCTAGGATTGGCTGCAACGTGCCACCTGTGGACTTTGTGCGATATTGCATTGCAGCGGTGGTATTTGCAGCTGGTTCACGACGAAGCTTAAGCTTGTTGCAGCTGGTTCGCTACGAGGCTTAAGCTTGTTGCAGCTGGTTCACGAGGCTTAAGCTTGTTGCAGCTGGTTCAGAACGACGACTACAGAGCTTAAGCTTGTTGCAGCTGGTTCAGAACAAGGACTACACGCTTAAGCTTGTTGCAGCTGGTTCGCCTAAGCTTGCTCGACGAACGAAGGGCACGTGGCGAAGAAAAGGATCGTCGCAGCAGCCAGCGGGGTAGAGGGCCAAGCCAAACAGCAGCGGCCACCCCACACAATCACGAGTGATAAACCCTAAAGCCCTAAAGCCCTAAACCCTAACAAAGCCCTCTAAAACCCTAAACCGTAAACCCTAAGCAACAAACCTGATCCCCCCACAGTCTGAGCAGTCCTTCGATTCCAAACCGTTAAACATATTGCATGAGATCAGCACAGACATCGACAAGACATCATCAAACCCAACCCCCCTAACCCTATAGCTTATAGCTATGTATGTTTTATTCGATTATATGTATATAGTATATATAGCTGAAGTTTATATTTTTGTATCTTTTAGCCACAAGGTCCTCTTAAAGGGTCCTATCACCAGAGCATCCTCTATGAGAGAGCATATGCTAATAACATACTTTGGACCCTTGGGGAAAGGTTTTCCTGCCACCGTGGCCA